ACCCATATTGACTATTCATATGTGAAAATGGTGTTAGGTCGTGTTAACATGACCATGATTAATGCTCCATCGAAAATTTGTCGAAAATCCTGATTTTCAGGCCAAATTGCGTCCAAAAGGCTGTCATTTACCACCAAATGGCTGTTAAAAAGACTGTCATTTTTTTCGTTTTCCAAGGGTCAAAAATAACATTTTATTCAAGTTTAAATGAACATGATGAGAAGTAGCTAGAAATAGCATCACAAATAAAGCATTTTGAATCAAATTCTATGCTCCTGTTGGTTTCCGTCCCGCTGTTGCAATAGAATATTTCTCTCCGGATCGAATCTGAAAAAATGAATAAACGAAATTTAATTCCAAAACATTGAACAAATTTCAAAAATATTTTTAACCTTTTCCAACAATCTGGGCTGTGTTTTGATGAATTTTGAACCAGCTTGATCCGCTGTTTTTCCCTTGTGTTTTGCTGTATCCATATGCTTGGTGACATCGCTAATACCACGTGAACCGATTAAGAATGTGGATGGACACAAAGTACACTTTGCTTTTTGTGGATTGCCTTTAACTTCTTCGAGCCACGTATACGTTTCCAACCATTCTTTCTGGAATTTACACGGTATTCTTTCATTTTCGTCACTTTTTGCTCCACTTTTTTACATTTTTAGGAACAAAAACACACTTGATTTCAGAATGAATATTATATTTAACGTAGCAAGTGACAAGTGCAACTGATGACTGGCTACGATTTGAAATTCATGCAATGACATGAATCATTGGCTCTCACACAGACGTATGCAAAACTCATTCATACTGTATAACTAAAAACTCATACTTACCCATATATTTTGGTTGCTGAATTTGTTTATGCAAACTTTTTGATTTATAAAAAAATTCATCGAGTGTACCGCTATTGTGGCTGTGATTCACATGCTATGAGTGAGACGAACAGTTCAGATACCGCGTAAGTAATCTGTATTGTTGCTGATCTTTGCAATCAAAATGATTGTTTACATAATCGATATCTCAACTGTTCGTATTCGCATCGCCACAGTAACAGTATATCAGCTGTTTGATATTTTTTCGTTCTTTTTGTTCGTTCTTGATTTTTGTTTTTACGTATATACATTTTTTTTTCGTATTGAATTTTGCATTGAGTTGAAATGGCTGAAAAGCCTGTCAAAAATTCAAAAATCCTGGCATGGCTGTGACAGCCATGGCTGTCAGATTTTTGTCGAAAAATCCTGTCAGACAGGCCAAAATCCTGTCGGATGGGAGCATTAACCATGATGGACCGAGATGGTGTCCATGTTCCTCTCCGTTCCAAAGCCTTTCATATGATACCCATATTGACTATTCATATATGAAAATGGTGTTAAGTCGTGTTAACATGACCATGATGGACCGAGATGGTGTCCAAGTTCATCTCCGTTCCAAATCCTTTAATTTGATACCCATATCGACTAAAATGGTGTTAACACGACCGTGATGGACCCGGATGAACCAAAAATGGGCCTATGTCCACCGCCGTCTCAAGACCTTTCCAATGATGTGCGGCATGTCTAGATCGGACCAGCCGTTTAGCCGCCAACCCGGAACAGACGGACAGACAAAAGTATAGAGTTATATATATAGATTTCGCACGTCTGGGTTACATTTAATATCATATTACATTATTCATTACTGCAATGTTATACCCACCCAACAAAAAAGTAAAAACAAAATGTGTATTTGTAAGCAATAAAGGTTATGACTGGAAACATACATGAGCATTGTTTTATATTTTCACTCTGATAAAAATTCAAAATTGGGCAATGAGTTCAGGTCATATAAAATGTCTTTGTAATAAACTAATTGGCGTGCTTTTCGGATGCATTAGAAATTGTATGTCAAGATCATCGTGGAGATAATATCTGTTTTGGTGAATGAATAAGGTTGCAACTGTTATTATATCAAAAATAAAGATAAAAACATCAGTCGGAGAAACAAATAGGTGTTTCAGCATATATAAATAACCGTTGCCAAAATTGCAGGTTTAGTCACATTCTGAAAGAAAACGTAAAATAAATAGGCGGTCAAAAGTGTATTTTGACAATATTTGTATCGCATCAAAGAGCATTTGAATGTAATTTTGAATTTGGAGATTCAAAAAAGTGTGCCATTTTGAAAAGTTTTTTTTATATTCAAAAATAACAAAGTGTTTTGTTCAGTTTCGTACAATTGATTCATAAACGATGGAAATGAATGGATTAAATATAGAAGAAATATCTGGAGAGCGTATCAAAAAAGGGCTTATAAAAACCGTAAAAGATCAATTGAATTCGGGAAGCGTTAAAATTTGTGTGGAACATGGATCCAAAAAAGGTGAAAATGACTAAAATGGCGGCAAACTTGTAAATCCTTATAAATTATATCATTTTCAAATAGGTGACAATTTCATGGGAGAAGTCTATCGTGTGCACTACGAAAATAACAATGAAAATGAAAACCAAAGTAAGTCTTCATTGATTTTGAAAATCGCACCGACGAATTTGGCTCGTCGAGAAAAAATGAGAACGCGCGAATTGTTCGTGCGCGAGGTCAACATGTATGACAAGGTAATGAGTAGAGCTATTATTTTGCAAAAATCAGAGCTCTGGTAATGACAACCACTTCTATGCCAAATATAAATTTTAAATCTCTGTAGGTTCTGTCATTTTTCGATGATTTTCAAATATCCAAAGGGATTATTCCTAACGAGAATGGCTTCAACGAGTGTGCCAAGTGCTATTTTAGTATAGGTGAAGAGTTTTGTGAATGTTTGTTTCTTGAAGATTTGAGAAGAAGGCAATTCGAAATGATAATTTACCGCAGCGAGCCAATCACATTCGATCATGTGTCACTAGTAATGAATTCGCTTGGAAAATTTCACGGCATTTCGTTCGCGCTGAAAGATCAACAACCAGAGAAATTCAAAGAATTGGCCAGTCTATCATTTGAACAGTTTTGGGTAATGTTCGATTCGGAAACTAAACATTATTACTACGGTATGATGAGACGTATGACAGCCATTTTGGAAGAGGAAGAACGATTCGATTTGTTGGAAAAATTCGAGGAAGCAGTTGGAACCGACCTATTGGCAACAGTCAAACGGTTAGTTTCCAGTGCATCGGCTGAACCTTATGCGGTCATCTGCCACGGTGATCTAACGACCAATAACTCGATGTTTCGTTATGACGAGCAAGGCAAAGCCGTTGAAGTGCAATGGATTGACTGGCAGTTTACTCGTTATGCTTCACCTATCACCGATTTGGTTTTATACTTATTCTGCTCAACAACCAAGGAGCTGCGTGATCAACATTTTGGGAATTTCCTGAAAATTTATCATGAAAGTCTATCCGAATTGTTGACAAGGTAAGATTCGTTACTGGAAAAGCCTTTTAATAGTTTAAATTCATTTCCAAATTATTTTCTCATGTAATATAGATTGGGTTCTGATCCAGCGAAATTGTTCCCATTTGAAACATTTTTGGACCAGATCCGAAAGTTTGGCATCTATTCAATATTCGCCGGTGCATTGCTATTACCTATCCTTTGTGCTGATCCAGCTACGATTCCGAATTTTGATGATGTTGCAGAGAAATTAGATGGTGACGAGTCATTTTTCGAAAACATCTTCCGTATTCCAGGTGATTCAAAACATGCGTATAATAAGAAAGTCGTAGACCTCTTTGATGACTTGAATCACCTTGGATGCATGGAAAAAGTTGCAGAATAATTATATTTAATATTTAGACATCTGTTTGACGAACTACGTACAATTATATTTATAACACCCAAAATAAAAGGATTTGAAGAATTTATATGAACTTATGACCAATTCTTAGCTAAGCTACATGTCTTTTGGTATTGAAAAATTTAATAATAACGTTTAGCTAATTCCTTGTGTACTTTAGCACACATATCAAATACAAATTTTTGCGACAAAAGTTTTCTTTTGATTTCATTTAAACAAAATGAATTCGCGTGTTTTCTCGAATTCAATTGAATCGCATCATCAGAGATTCTGATTACTGGAGTGTGAATACTATTCACTCTGTATGCGAATTATCATGTGTGGTTACTGATTGTAGTGACTTTGTTGTATTCTAGACTTTGTGGCATGAACAGTAGAATAAATGCAATGTAAGCAGTGTAAACATAATGCAAGCTAATCAAAAACTATTGAGCGACCGATCGCACCTGCATATAAGCGATCGGTCACTCAACGACAGTCTTCACTTGAACCTCCAATAAAGAACACCAACGAACCGATTGGACTCTGTCCATCGGTTCTTATCAGCAACAGTGCACAAATAGTTTTAATCGTACACAAAAGACAATAATATGGCTATATTTGGCTCTGCACGAACAGGATGAGAACCAACAAACAAAAATCTCGGACATCAATTGATTAATTGTGAAATATTTGTATTTTGTGTTGAAAGAAATGACGAAATTTGGACATCGGACTGCAGTTATTCAAAATTATTGATCAAAAATTGGTAAATCAACGCCTTTTCCTGAGAATATTGACTGGAATTCTTGATACAATTATCATGGAGACAAAAACGTGGCAACAAGTTTCCGAAAAATTGGGAGATATTCAACATAACATCAATTTAATTGCACAATGCGTAAAGAAGACCGAATCAATTCAAATCCTGAAAGAAGCTGAGGGGAAACTGGAGACGCAAGCAGCAGTGATAATTGAAACTCATTCATTTCTGGAGAAAGTTGCCGCACAAAGTCAAGAACCTGATAAATTGAACTTAGCAATCGAAACTTTACTGGACATCGAAAGCAGAGTGAGCAAAGTATACGAATTTATCCAACACAACATCATTCAACTAAACATCGATTCGGCAATATCAACATCAATCAACATTTTTAGAAAGAAAATTCGATCGACATATAACAAAATTAACCAAATTAGTGATAAATTTGAGATAATATTTCTGAATAGTAACAATCGCGATTTAATTGAAATATTTGATTCCATTGATATCCATTTCAACAACAAAATAAACGCAAAATGTAAAGAAACGCAAATTCTAATCAGTGAAAAATTCTTCGTTGCCAAAAATAAAAATCATATTCGTAAAATTTTTCGTCAAGTTAAAAGTTTATCAATGAAGAAATCGAATACGTGAAGAGAATCCATCGTTTTACATTATCCAAATTCCAAAATTCTTAACAAATCAGTAGAAAAGTCCCAAAATCCTGAGAAAAATGTAACATTAAAAGAAAAAAATCAAACGGAACACGAAAATTTTTTTGAAATTAAACAATATGCGCTTGTCTTGACCATCGTGAATTTAAGATGGTCCCATTTTAATTGGAAATTCTTTAGAAAGAAAAACACGCAGCAAATCGTTGAAAAAGAAAAATGAGTGAAACAAGCAAAATGATAAAGCGCCAATCAACGGACATCGAATAAACTTATGAAAAAGTTATCTCAATAAACATTTACCACAAAACACCAATGAACCAGAAATACGATTTAAAAAAAAAGCAACAAAATAACATTAAGTTGAAAAATAGATATGATAGAAATATGTCAAAATTAAAACCTGCGAAGATTTCTAGCAAATTCTTATGAAAAAAAAAATCGAAAATGTCAATAACCCATACAAAAGGAATGAAAAAGTTAGCATATGGAAACTCAAATTTCAAAAAAAAAAGGTCGTAATTAGAAGTTAAAACAAAAAGTCAATAAACTGAATTTGCACTGAAAACAAATTTCAAACCCCGTAAGAAGAAGAAGAAGAAGAAAGACCTAAGTCGCCAGAGCAGCGCAGTCTAAGATAGCCTAAGTCGCCAAAAGTAGCGCAGCCAAAAAAAATTTATTCAAGAAAAAAACAATGGAATCAAAACCAAGTTTTGCAGGGGAACAGAAAAAACTTGTCAGTTTAAGCAAAAAAAAAAACATTCATACAGTTAAATGAACTTTGATTGCAATTCAGCATTTTTTTTTAAATGTTTGAAATCGACTGAAGAATTTATTTCATTAACGTTCAAATTTCTTTATTATCGTAAGTTTTGCACACAAAGGTGAAAAAAAAACTGTAATTGAAACATCTTTTCTTTCTATCCAAATTTAAAAGTACTCAAAATATGAATTTTTCCAACTAACATTTGTTAATATTTGTATGACAAGCTCTCATAACAACACATCCCCAATTTTGTTAAAGTTTTAAATTAATTCAAATTTTCGGAGAAATTTAAATCCCGGGGGATGATGTGGCATGAACAGTAGAAATGTAAACATAATGCAAGCTAATCAAAAACTATTGAGCGACCGATCGCACCTGCATATAAGCGATCGGTCACTCAACGACAGTCTTCACTTGAACCTCCAATAAAGAACACCAACGAACCGATTGGACTTTGTCCATCGGTTCTTATCAGCAACAGTGCACAAATAGTTTTAATAGTACACAAAAGACAATAATATGGCTATAACTTGATGCATTCCATTGTTTACAAACAGTCACAGAAACTTGATAATTATCAAGTGGTGAAGATAATAAGTGTTATCTCCGTACTTCAAATAATATTCATTGAAATGATGACTTGCAGCAATATTTCAAGTAAATCAGTATTCTTAAAAGTCTGTTGCATTCATAGATACTCGTGTGCACTACGGGTGTTGATTCCAAATTGCTTTAACTAAAAGTTTGATGATAATTTTGTTTCATTGAAAGATTTTGAAAAATTAAAAGAAAAATGGACATAAAAGAAATTTTAGCAACGAAAACGAAGGAAGAACTCATCAAGTTCCTACAAAAACAGTTGAATTCCGTTGATGTTGAGCTTCGCATTGAACATGGCTCCAAAACTGGTATTAAATTTATCTAGAGAAAATATTAATAGGGACAGTAATTGATTTGGATATTCGCTTACAAATATCAGGTGACAATTTTATGGGCGAAGTATATCGCGTACTATACGAGGAATCTAATGAAAAGATTGAATCTTCATTGATTTTGAAAGTCGCTCCAAGGAACCCGATGCGTAGAGAAAGAATGAGATCACGTGATTTATTTGTACGCGAAATTAATATGTACGATAAGGTGAAGATTAGAAAAAAAAATTAAAAAATGATTTAAATTGAAACACTAAGCATAAACATAATTCCCATCAAAATTTGCAGATCTTGTCGTTTTTTGAAGAATTTCAACTGTCCAAGGGTGTTATTCCAGGCGGGAATGTCTTCAATGAAAGTGCCAAGTGTTACTTCAGTATAAGTGAAGAGCTATCCGAATCACTGTTTCTTGAAGATTTGAGAAGTAAACGCTTCGAAATGATAAATTATCGTAAGAAATCGGTTACGTTTGAGCATGTTTCATTAGTAATGAATTCGCTTGGAAAATTTCACGGCATTTCGTTCGCGCTAAAAGATCAACAACCAGAGAAATTCAAAGAATTGGCGAGTCTTTCATTTGAACAGTATTGGACATTCCTTGAATCAGAATTTAACGACCATTATTTCGATACACTTAAGCGTTTAACAACCATTTTAGAAGAGAAAAAACGGTTTGATCTGTTGGAAAAGTTCAACCGAGCGGCAGGAGTCGATCAATGCGCAACAATATTCAATTTAGTTGCAAGTGCAGCAGCTGAGCCTTATGCGGTCATTTGCCATGGTGATCTAACGACTTATAACTCGATGTTTCGTTATGACGAACAAGGTAAAGCCGTTGAAGTTAAATTGATTGACTGGCAATTTACTCGTTATGCTTCACCTATCACCGATTTGGTTTTATACTTATTCTGCTCAACAACGAAGGAGCTGCGTGATCAACATTATGAGGATTTCTTAAAAATTTACTATGGAAGCCTTTGTGACTTATTAACAAGGTAAAATGAAAGTAATTCGACGAGTTTCAATCACATTATTTCGGTTTTAAACTAAAAATTTCGCATTTAGATTGGGATCAGATCCTCAAAAAATGTTCCCCTATGAAGCGTTGTTGGAACAGATGCAGAAATTTGGAATTTATACAATATTCGTGGGAGCATTTTTATTTCCCATGCTTTATGCTGATCCAGCTACGATTCCGAATTTCGATGATGTTGCAGAGAAAGCGGGCAGCGATGAATCATTTTTCGAGAATATATTCCAAATTCCAGACGAACTGAAAATGGCATACAATAACAAAATAACGGATTTATTCATTGACTTGGAACGCCTTGGGTGTATGTAAAGATGTAAATTTACTATATTGTTTGATTATATCAAGAAATAAACAAATAAATCTTATCTCATTTATTTAACCCGTATTTGAATGTAAGATTTGCACATTTAGTGCAATTTTAACTAGTAATTTAATACTAGTTTAATAGGCCGTACCTGGAATCGATACCAGCTGAAGTTTTTTTTCACGGCCAGCGCAGTACGTCATCATGTTTTCATTGTTATTATTAGCACTTACCTCGAGAAGTGGTTGCTGATTAAATATCAACATACCAATACAATCCGATTAAACGCTATTAGAGATAACAAATTTTTATTATTTTACAACAAATCAGCTGATAAGCTGCTGGTTTAAGTTAGCTTATTCAGTACTAGTTCTGTTAGCTAATTCAATCGGTGCGTTTATTCAATAATAGTTTTGTGGTAAACAAAAAATCGAATGAAAATTTTAATGCTTGACATAAAAACCTATCGGTCGATCTATTTTCTTTTCTTTCAAAATAGGTACTTTTCAACTTAAATTCTTCAACTAGAAACTAACAAAGAATGATTTATGATCTGATTGTGGTTGGTAGCGGGTCGGTAGGCTCGGCAGCCGGTTATTATGCGGCCAAAGCAGGTTTAAAAGTGTTGATGATCGACAACGGACATCCACCACATGATCAGGGCAGTCACCATGGTGAAACGCGCCTAATGCGCCACGCTTACGGCCAGGGCGAGATCTATGTACCAATGGTATTGCGCGCCCAGCAGCTGTGGGATGAACTGGAAGAGCAGGTTGGTGAACGCATTATGCATCGGTGTGGCGTGATTAACATTGGTCCAAACGACTCTGAATATATACGTAATGCGAACGAGAGTGCGAGCCGTTACCAAATTCCAGTAGAAATGTTAACAGCGGAAGCTGTGATGAAACGTTGGCCGCAAATAAAAGTGCCACATGGTTTTGTTGGAGTGTTTGAACCGAATGCGGGGTATTTGAAGAGTGAGGTTGCAATCGGTCATTTCATTCGTCTTGCCAAAGAGGCCGGCTGCACACAATTGTTCAACTGTCCAACAACTGGTGTTACTCGTGACGGTGATGTGCAGAAAGTCGAAACTGCAAACGGCGTCTACTTTGGTCGTAAACTGGTGTTCAGCGCCGGCACCTGGTTAACCAAGCTGCTACCGAAACTGCCTGTTCAACCGGTGCGCAAAGTGTTTGGCTGGTATCAAGCGGATGATAGTTACAACGAGAACAACAAGTTTCCAGGATTTGTTTTCGTAATAAAAGATAATGAATCAGAGTTTTACGGTTTTCCTGCAAACAACAATGCACTAAAAGTGGGTAAACATAGTGGGGGACAGCCAATAAATAGTCCAGAAGAGCGAACGCCTTTTGGTGCATTCCCTGAGGACAATGGTGAATTATTGGATTTTTTACATTCGGTTTTTCCGGGTACTAGAGAATGCATTTATGGCAAGTCTTGCACCTACGATATGTCACCCGATAAACACTTCATTATTCATACACAACCAGACCAACTTATCATAAGTGGATTGAGTGGTCATGCCTTCAAATTTGCCAGTGTGCTGGGCGAAATTGCTGCTGCTTTTGCTCAAAATAAATCTTCGCCATTTGATTTGTCGCCATTCTCTTTGTCACGTTTTGCTAAGCCATGCTAGGGGTGCAATTTGTCGAACCAAAAGTAATTTTCGGTCAAAATTTAATCGGAGTGTATGATTATCACTTTTTTACGTCGATAAAAATATTCAAATGAATGCGTAAATTAATTTTAATTCTTAACAAAAGTGCAAAAGTAAACTTGAAACTGTTGGGTTTTTATTATATAACCAAATAACACTTTATATTGAATATTGACTGAGCCTTATAAACTATAATCATTTTTTATGTATTTATCAAAGAATAAACAATTCAACTCGAATATCTTATCTATTTTAATCTGCATAGGAAACAATGCCGGGGTCAGGATTCCAATTTATAGCAAATTGCAATAATTATTACACAAACTGACGTTGGTGATATTAATTTAACAAAAGTGTTTTTTTGAAAATCGATTTTTGTTTGAAAATCGATATTTTCAATTTCATTTTCTCTATTTGTCTATTTGAATATCACAGATTTTGCCGATTCTTCATCAATTCTAGCCATCCAAAGTAATTGATCCTTGTGTGAATAGCCTGTAATGAATATCCGAATTGTTACTCCAGACTGAAGTCTTCAGTTTATCTGAACCGTATACGGCATATATGCCGTCATTTGTTATGGAGATGATTGGACAGCGATGGTGGTGGAAAGCCGATCTACATAAAATTATTCAATTCTAAGTTTGGTAGATGTGCGTCATCTGTCACTGACTTGGTTTTCGTACTTACTTTGTTGTTCAACCAAAGAATAACGAAAAAAACAACATGAAGAGCTTTTAACAATTTATCATAGAAGTGTTGCTGACTTCTTGGAGATAAATCTTGTACAAAATAACGTGATCTCAGCTCTGTATGGTAAAATTTGTTAATTTAAGACTAGACTCTGATCCAGCGAAATTATTTCCTTACGAGGTATTGTTAACTCAACTTTAAAAGTTCTGGAAATAACCATGCATGCGAATTCTTAAGAATTTGCAAATAATGTCGATAAACAATATGAAACAGAGGATGGCGGTCCACTTCAAGCACCACAAGACTTTTACAAAAAACAACTGCTTGATTTGTTCACTGATACGGCTCAGTTGGATTTATCAAAAAATTATTTTTTTCATTTTTCAACTTGAGATAAACCTAATTTGAACACGTCTGATCACGTTTTTTTCTTATCTCTTGATCTAAAACATAATTAGAGTTTTATTAAAAGATTGGTTACACAAAAGGCCTTGTGAAATTTGTTTGCTCACTCAGAAGTACTTTTATAATATGCACGACTTGTATTGGTATACTACTTTGTGACATAGTTCAATAAGTAGTATTGGTTGTACAATACATATAAAATCACTATGCTCACCATTAATAATAGTGGTGATCTGTCAAATTACCAATACAAGTCGTGCATGTTGTAAAAGTACTTCTGTGTGAGTGCTTGTTAATCAAATGAGATAACGCTGAATTATAAGCACCGAATATTCAAATTCTGTTGAATTAAACTAGTTTTTTCTGCACATTGTTTGCCTTTCAAATCAAAATCTGGAAGAAGAATTTTAATATTATTTACATCGATGTCACGTGTCAAAATTTGGGACTTTTTTAAAGGTTTTCGTTATACTTTATCATATTTTCTTATGATTAAACAATGGCAAAAATGTGACTCAGCGAATTCACATTATTGTTACAAAATGACGCAATGGAATCTTAGTTGAGTTGTATGTTAACCATCTCATCTACCAAACGTTGATAAGATTAAGTCAAATTCACATTTTCTGCATATAATAACCAAAACGTAATTCAAACTGACATTTCAATTTGAAGCGATCGATGGTGTTTTACCAAATTGTCCCTCCAACATTGAGAATTAGTTATTTTATTCAGAAAATTTTCAGTTTCAATTCAATTGAATCGAAGAGCTCATTTTACCCAGAATTAAGAAACAAATCATGGAAGGTTTAGATATAAAGGAAATATCCGGTGATCTTATCAAGACAACGCTTCAACAAGTCGTCGAACAACGATTGGGATCAAAAGATGTGAAAATTTGGATCGAAGCTGGCTCCAAGAAAGGTAATACTCAATTTGGTTTCAAAAATATTCCGGCGGATTAAGTTTTTCACGACTATTCATGTGACTACACAGGTGACCATTTCATCGGAGAAATCTACCGAATCATTTACCAACTTGGAAATGATACCAACCAATCGTCTCTGATTCTGAAAATTGCCGCACAAAGTGTGATGCGTCGTGAGAAATTCAGATTGGCTTCATTTTTTGTGCGCGAAATAAGAGTGTACAACGAGGTATTGTCAGATAAAATTCCCAAAATAAAAAGCATACCGATTGGTTTTGGGTACTCAGCATTAATGCTTCGTTTGACTTCCAGACACTGCCGATATTTTACGAGTTCCAGTTATCAAAAGGCATCACACCTCAAGTGGATGGTTTCAATGAATATGCGCAATGTTATTCCATTATCCAAAAAGAGCTATCGGAAAGTTTGTTCCTAGAGGATCTGCGAGTGAATCAATTCGAAATGCTGGATCATCGTAAGGAAGACTTAACTTTTGAACATGTAGCACTCGTAATGAAAGCGTTGAGTAAATTGCATGCAATCTCATTTGCATTGAGGGATCAACAACCAGAAACATTTGCAAAAGTAACAAGCAATTTGGATGAGCTTTACTATAGAACAGACAACGTAGATTTCACAATATTTCTGACGGCAATGGGAAATCGTGCAATCAACGCTTTGAATGAACGGAACTTGATGGAATTGAAGAACAAATTTGCTCGTGCTATTGAAAAGGGATTTGATAAGACCGGTGCAGAATGCGTCACTGGAAAATTAGCCGAACCATACACTGTATTGTGTCACGGTAGGATGATTGGCACATTCTTACATTCGCTATTCATTCTTTTCATGATCATTAAACGACTGATTTTCATGGTTTTTATTTTATAGGTGATGTTTGGATCAATAACAGTATGTTCAAAAAAGATGCTCAAGGCAAACCGATCGCAGTAAAACTATTCGACTGGCAGTTCTCGCGATATGCCTCGCCCGTTACTGACATCATTCTATTCCTTCTATCTTGCACACGGAAGAGTCTGCGTGACCAACATTATGACGAATTGATAAAAATTTATTACGAAAGCCTCTCAAACTTTCTTCAAAGGTAAAATGCCACAAAATAGTCTCGTTTAAACATTTCGCAGTTCAACATTGTTACATTTATCGTTTTAGATTGGGCTCGGATCCGAATAAGCTTTTCCCATACGAGGCATTATTGGATCAGCTGAAGCAATTTGGCAAGTACGGTACACTCACGGGGATCATTTTGATCGCTATCTTTTCAGCTGATCCTGATTCGATTCCAGATTTAAGCGAATTTTCGGTTGGTTATTTATTTATTCATTATCATATAGATACGAGACGACTTTGGCACGACTTTTGCCTCGTTTGTGTTCGTTGCGCTCACGACATAAGCCGAATATAATCGCAGTAGTCGTTCTAACGAACTCTGTGTGTACAATTTAAACGATGTGCGACATAATTGGTGGTCGTATAGTATAATGAACACGAACGAAGTAAAAGTCGTGACGGTAGTCATGTACGACGCACTAACATCGTCTCGCGGTTTTATGAGTTATTTATTTTTTTTTTTTCATTAAATTAATACTTATTGGTTAATTAAATAATTTATTTATTTGTATATATAAGGAAAGAGTTGATGAAAATGAAGGTGAAATGAATGATTTGATCAAAGTACCAGAAGAGAACCTAGAAGATTTTACCACCAGGATTTGCGACTTAATCGAAGATTCAGCACGATTTGGCTACCTGTGATTGAGATACACGATAGCTTCTAAATTGAGAGAAGAAGAATTTAGCAGGAAAAATTGTTTATGATTTCTAGTGTTTCAATAAAGTCTTCCTGATAATTGAATTTTTGGTGGCATTGAATTGCCGAACTGACTTATATTCGTCATAATGAACTTCAGACAAGTGCGTTGTTATTTAGAGATAATATCTTATAATTCATGTGATTACGAAACTGGTTATTTATTTAGTTTCTACAGTACTTTTCAACTTGATAATGTTGAGTATGATATGAAAACACTTTCAAACTACGACTAATGAATGAATTAACAAAATTGAGATCGAAACTCTGATTAGTAGTAAGGATTACGTACATGAATCCACGTGAATGCACAGTTGAAGGCACTAAACAAAATTAGGTGTTGTATAATCAATCAATGTTCATTGAATCTGGAGACACATAAATTTTATGTGATGATCACATTAAGCTGATTCAATCAGCGTGATTGAAATCGTAATCAACGAAATGGACTTTGACAATTAGTCTGGATATATATAAGGCTCAGATTGGAAGGATTTGATCAATCTTTGTTCTTATTTTATGTGAAAAACAAGTCAATAGAAAAGATCATAATAAGTGTATTCAAAACTGCAAACATCAAGTGGATCAATCAAGGGACTATTCAAAATGGTAAAATTCATTGAAATAGCTATTGAGAAATACATTGGGTAAAATTGCATTAAAACAGTTCTAATCTCACATTTCATTCTTTTTCAGTCAACATTAAAAGTTCTCTTCAATTTTTCTAAAGATGAAGATGACGAAAACAATTTCAGTGCTTACACATTCGTTTCGACTGCTATGCTAATGGTGCTGAATATGTTTGCAAATGATTTGAAAGTGCCCGTCGAGTATTTGAATCGAATTTCTTTTTCACACAATGTCGACATTTTTATTAATTTCCTCGATCAAGACGGTGTTTACAACTCCACGGACGACGTGGAAATGATTTGGCCACACTATCAGAATCGTTATTGCTTGATTTATACGAATACTGGAATGTTGGCTCCGACTAGTGCCTTGAGTTTGACTAGTGTTTTCATTATTTTAAGTACCATAATATTCATTATCAATTGGTTCTCATTCTATTTAATCATTCACCATCGGTATGATCTTGGAATATTAGTCTTACTAACCCGAAAATTTTATTACAAATTTAACTTATAAATTAAAAAAAATTCTTCTGACTTCTTAGAATGGGCAAACCATTTGGCGAAGCCTTTGGTCTGTCATATTCCTATACAAACCAATCGCAAATGATGATGGCAATCCCAATGTTTAAAACAACTGTTCATGAAAAATGTTTCCTCACATTCAAATTCCTTCATAATTTCTTCTTGGGTTCCATTTTTTTGAGTGCTTTTTCGACACAACTGATTTCACCACAAATTAAACTATTGACCGACCATGAAATCAGTTTGGTCAAAGGATTTCATCCAGGTCCCGTTACCAATTTCGGCATTGGAGAGCCGTGTCTAAATGAGCTTAAGCAAGGTTTCTTTTTCTCTTTCGTTTGTTTCTATGTAAATTTATTTAATTTTTTTTCTTCGAATTGAAACTAATTTATCTCAATTTGATTGAATGAAACATGGTATATTATACCATAATACAATGCAAATCACCACAGGTTTATACTTACGAAGAGGGTGTTTTCTGACCTGCGATGTGGCTAAGTATTACCTATACAAATCAATTAAATTAGTATACGGTTTGGAATCTACGCATACATCTATGCGATTTTCAGTAGAGTGGAGCGATCTATACGGAATAACGTATAGTCTGATGTTTAGAAGCGATTTTGGCGGAGAAACCTATATTCTGTGCTTGTGTTAGTTAACTATGCATCTGTCAACGCCAAAACCACTTCAAAACGTCAGACTATACGTTATTCCGTATAGATCGCTCCACTCTACTGAAAATTTCATTGATGTATGCATAGATTACAAACCGTGTATGTATAAATTGAAAAAGTATTCCTATATTTGATGCGAAAACAATTTTAGCAAAACTGTGCAGAAGCACGAAGGTGTTGTCTTTCTACGGGAAGAAATCAACTTTCAGCAGATGTTTAAAGTGTCAAAAGATTCAAAGCATTTTGACAGAATAAAAAAGTTGGTGCGGCGCTACTTCGAAGCAGGCATGCTGGATCAGATATTCAATTATATCCATGCGACAAGCTACAAGTAAGAATTCTTATACCTTTTGGAATGTGAAACCTCATCTGTTTTTTGTCAGGTTTCTGGAAGAAACCGGTCGTGGGAATCAAATCAAACTTGGTGATATGTACGAGACATCGTATCTTCATATGTTGATAGGTTATTGTGGCAGCATCATCACTTTCTTTTGTGAACTCGTCTTTTTTCGCTGGAAACAAAGGAAGCAGCTTCGCCGAAATGCAATTCAACCGTTTCAATTTGTGCATTGAAATGAAAAAGCTATATCATAATACACTTTTGTATGTGTTTGTGAATAAGAAGACAAAAAACAGCGGCATTTAACACATTATTGTATCTTTATTATACATTTTATGATGTAATAGTTTTTAATAATGTTTTTCAGTTGAGTTGTAATATAATTTATTGTTTAATAATAATCTTTAATAACTAACATCATCATATTTAGTTGTTTACTCTTTTTTTTGTTCTGCTTGACTTTGTTTTTACATTATTTTTCATTTTGGTTTTTGGGATTTTTGTTCTTTATTTCTTTGCGTTAGTGTTATTTGAAAACTGCCATCGTCAAATTTATTTTTCATATTTCCCTACGAAATAACATACCCATTCAGCTTAGCTCATTGTTTTCAACAATCCAAAAATACACATCGGCTGGAATAAATGTTTGCTTTTTTTCACTTTTTAATATAGATTTAATCCATTCAACGGTGTTGTTCTCCCCGTCTCCTCAAAATATAAATAATAATTCCACAATTTCGGTCAATGGTATTTTTTCCTCTCAAACATACATTTCATGTTTTTCTTTAAATTTCATTTTCGCCTAAGTTCATTTGTCTCGACTTTTTTTTAATCATTGCATGCAATTGTTTGTATGAGGGCTGGCTGGACTGATTTGTGTTTCTGGGGTTGGGTCGAATTCATGCTGCAGTCTTTGCATCTACTTGCTAAGCACATTCAAACACAGCCAATCGACCCGCATGTCTTATGTATATTTTTGTGTTTTCTTCTTCTTCTTTTTGTCACATTAAAATCATCTAAAAGTACGTATTTTAAACTAAAGTCCAAAACAAAAACAGAGGCTTATAAAAAATTGTAAAAATTTTTTTGTTTTTTTTTCTTAATTTTTCCTTGGTATTTTTCTTTTCAAATAAAGTTATTAACAAACATGAAATCCAAAACCAAAACGAAAAAGAAAGAAAATTATCATATAGATAGGTTCGTCATGAAAAGGAGGTGGAGTAAAAAATACGTAAGAGAAATATATAGATTATAGATACTCTCAGAATTCAAAGGCATCAAACTAAAAAACATAAAGTGTAAAACATCAAATTACCCACTGTCTTTTCGCCATTGTAGGCAAAATATCAGTTGACCTCCATTGTATTAAAATTGTCGGCGAAATGTCATTTTACCTACATTTTTAATACAATGGACTCCACAAATATTAACAATGTAAGTAAAATGACATTTCGCCGACAATTTTAATACAATGGAGGTCAACTGATATTTTGCCTACAATGTCGAAAACACAGTGGGTAATTTGATTTTTTACACTATATGTTTTTTAGTTTGCCTCCTTTGAATTCTGAGAGTAGGGTTTACAGATGAACGTTCAAATGGTGAAAGTGTCATTATCTTCATTTCTTTCATTTTATGTTGTTATTAATTGGTTAGAAAATGCTTTGGCGTAAATTCTAGATGAACGAATAAAAAGTTGATTCTATTTGCTCTCAATTGAATTAGAATGAAAATAGATAAAGAAATCAGACGAAAGCGAACAATTGCACAAACGGTGATGGGTTGAAAATGACACCACTATCGAATGGGCAATTGGCCATCTCATAACAATTCTTTCTATTTTCATGATTTGATCGCTATAAATTTTACATTGATTTATTTTACAACAATATTTGTGCTTCAGTTTTCCATTCATTTGTCTGGTTGTATGTTATCATAGTCATCTCATACTCCTACGATCTTGAACTTAATTCCGATCAATGTGGTTTGTGTTTTTCCTTCTTTTTTGTTTCGTTTATTTCTGTCTGAATGAAAAATGACTTGATTTTTTTCAATATTTTTATTTTGTCGTTCAACGTTTAGATTTTAGAGAGAAGTGAAAATGTCAAAAGTTTCCTAGTAAATGCTGACAAAATATGGCTTTCGAATTTATTTTGTGAAACGAAAAAGAAAAACAAATTACGTTTCGAATTTTCGATTCTTGAGAACAATTTGTATTTTCTTAAAAAAAAAATGCGAATAATTTTCTCTATGTGGCTGTAACAATTTATATAGGCCATAATTGAGCCTCGCGCCCATTTTGTGGTGGCTACTAGATCAACATTGGGTTGATCAGTGGTTTGAAAACCAACAATTTATTTTTACTATCTCCAATTTTCGTTGGATTTGTTCTGAAAATAAAAAAATGAATCTCCAGTCGATGCCACAAAATCAGACACAGGTTCCTTGAAACAGTTTTTGTTTTTTTGTTTCTTTCTTTTAATAATTCACTATATTTTTTGCAATATTTTTTTTTGTTCTCTCTTATTGATTTTCTTCGATTTCTGTTTGGCAAAAAAGTAGTTTCTTTCAATTGGGCAAGTTTCAATGTCCAAATGTGTTCAAATTCTTCTGTTACATATTTTTTCCCCTCTTTTTTCTCGGTATTTTTTTTAGTTTTTAGCAATAATCACAAATTATTTTCCTTTATTCTATACTCAATTTTTATTTCTTTTTTTAAAACTATATTTCTTCCTTTGGCTAATACATAAGCTAAACAATAAGTCGGGTGTTCGTTTCGCTTTGAATTTGCATTGTTTCGTTATTGTGGTTGAATTTAGTTTGCATTTGTGCGGTTAGCACACATTTCCGAATGAATAGGTTAGGAATAGTAACAATTTTCTTTGCATCCAAAGCATTGAATTTCGTGTTATTTTCCTATTTTGTGAGCCAGAGCAAGAATGAAATGTGAATGTGTAAATTTCGTAAAAGTGATTGGACTCAAAACGATTGGTCGGATAAGTTTTTATTGTTGTTGTTTGGGATGGGGTGGACAATCATATGGTTGCTTTAAATCATTGCACTATAGCAATGCTACACAATGTGACCGATTCTATTTTGTTACCCACATTGCGATGCCATTGAATTGCATTCTAGCTTTGAGTTGAAGTAAAAGCGGACGAAAATCGAACTAGCAAAGAGAATTGAATAATTTTTCTATTGAAAATGTTGAGTTTGTTTTCTTAATTTCCATTTTTTTTATCTTAAACTTAGTTTGTGCTCTTGATAAACGCTATGAGCCAACAACGAAATCACTTTCACACAGTAAACTTTGGCTTTGTGTGTGTGTGTGAAATTGCAACTAGACCAGTTCCATTCAACTAGATAGAATGAGAAAAAAGCTTTTTCTATTCATTGAACTTGTGTATTCCAATAAAGTATATGCAATTGCAAGATTTCAACTATGTTTTCCGTTTTTTAGTATAATTTCATCTATAAATTCAAAGCTTTTTTTGTTCTCTGTTACAAACTCTAAGCATTTGACATTTCATTGCTGACTAGAACATTTTAAGAAAAATAGTTATTTGTTCATTCACTGTTTTGGTTGTCATATTTTTTTGTGTTTGTTTAATTTGTGCTTTGGAATTGTTCATGATATATTTCCATTTTTGTACGTTCGGCTTTTCTGTGGGGCGTGGGCTGAATACATACGGCTCAGATGTAATGCACATCTCATCACAATCGATCGATTTAATGCGCTCTAATTCTAATAATAAATTGAAATATACATATTCGAATTCAGTTAGGATGTTCTATTTTTGGTGTTTGTCAATTTCACGGCGGGTTGTTGTAGTGTGATCAGTTTTGTCGATTGGTGTAAAGTGCAAAATGTGCAAGAAAAGCATTTACATAAAATGCCTCACGTCCATAAAATAACAACTGAGAAACCGATTCGATTTCATTTCATAACATAATTATCGACCTATCTCCTAAATGATAAACATGCTTGTGGTATCCAATGCATTGTGGTTGAGCATTGTATTGTCGTAACAATAGCGTCAGATATTATATGCAAAATTGCAATATCTGGGTTATTTCTTTGGGGAATTTTCCATCGTTCAATCCTATAGTCTAAATTTGTAGTTGTGTGTGTGTGTGTGTGTGTGTTTGTGTCTCGTGGCATGGCAACTGAAGTGGCTGTCTTTCTCTCTCCTTGTGTATTCAATCTTGAAGAGATTTCATCTAGCTCTCAAATGCACAAATTTGCGTTAGCTGCATTCATAATGGCCCATCGAATCAGTTAAAACTAATTGAAATGGCGCTGTTAAATGACCCAATGAATTCATTCAGAAAACAAGAAATTGTGTGCGTGCCTCTTGCTCGCAATTCGAATTATGATTGTGCAGAAATAAAAATCAAATTCCTCGATTCTCTCCAGCTGAGCATGTTATTCCAAATATGGGGAGGGAGAGCGAGAGAAAGCGAGAGAGAAAAATGTTGTGTACAGTGTACATACCATGCAGAAAAATCTCAGAAAACACTTCACGACACTCCCTTATTTTCTAGCGATTAAACTTGGTCAATATTTAAGTAAATAATTTCCATTGTTTGCTCTACGTTATTATGTTGGCTTAAACATGCTTTATGTTTGTATAATGGGTTTAAGTTTCACTTATATTACACACACAAAATACAATTCATTCTTTTCAGCAAATTTCTATTCATCTTCTTCTGTGTCGTCGTCTTCGTCTCCGAAGAAAATCAATTTTCAATGTAATTTCACGAATTTACTCGGCATTTACATTGCTATATGGATTCATAAACTTAAGTTTAAACATTAAAACATGCAAAGCCTTCGAACGAAAAGCTTTGCCAAAATACACCGTATATATAATATTTAGTTGTGTTTTTTTTATCTGATATAGAATTTTTTTAGTAGATTTTCTTCATGTTTTTTTCCATAGCGTATTACATTGAATGAATGTCAATATTAAGTGAATGTGTGAACAATATTCTATAAATATATAAAGAGAATTTTGATTCCATGCGATTCGTATGGAGAATATGTGTCCCTTATTCATTTGTTGTTAAGTAGTACGCATATTATGATGACAATTAGTTCAAATTGTTTTGTTGTTGTTGTTGTTGTTATTTTTTGGTAAGTGAAAAGTGTTATTGTAGATAAATATTAAAACACGAAATGTTGTAGTGGTTGTCCTTTTTGAGTTTTACTGCGAAACGGTTTGGTAGTTGTGTCCAATTGAATTCGGTGTATTTTTGTTCCGGTTCTAATTCATTCTGAAGGTGGTGACATTATGAAAACTGTTTTGTGGTGTGAAACTGTTTGATCATCAACTTATTTGTTTAGTTCGTATAAAATCATTCCATCGATGTTTTTGGTCCAACGTTTTTGATTAGTGTAAAAAAATGTCAGTTTTTTTCTGTTCTCTGCGGGATCATTCTCTCAGGACAATTCAAAAGCTTCTATTGAATTATTATTTTTGTTTCGCTACAAATCTGTTGTTGTTGTTTTTTTTCTCCTTTTTTTCCAACGTACAAACGACAAACGACTACAATTAACTGCTAAACGATATATTTATCAAGTGAAAGTTTTAAATCTGTATTAGCTGAATATAATATGAATAAATGTTTTTTTTTTTTTGGTTTTTGACGAAAATGTCTAACTCCTTATGCTAAATTTTGGTATTTGCTGTACTTCATTAGAATTTAGTTCTACGATCATTTGCTTTTATTTTCTGGAAATTCCCCAAGAGAAACAAGTTGCATCAATGCGAATGGTATGCGATTCATATGAGTTATGGTTTTATATCCTTCTTCAGATTTTTTCGGCAGATTTTCAGAATATATATAAAATCACAAGTCCGATCGCTATCCAATGATTGATGCAAAGAATAAAATGGTTTGAATATTTCAAGAAACCGCTCGGTAAGTTATAAATCAGCTGGGCTTTGGCTAACTCATAGCTTTGTAATGCCGTTGTAAATTTTTCCTCAAATTTTGTAATGAAAAATTCCAAACCATTTTTTCTACATATTTCAGTGCTTTCTTCTTTTCTTCATTAGATACTAACAATGACAAGCTTATCAAAGTCGATAAAAACATTGAAATATCGAAATCGATCGTTTTTCAATATCACACTTTGTCGGATGGATGTTCGACAAAATCGTCGGTCAAAATAAATGAGTAATTTGTCTGGTGTTTTGATTCGATTCGGTTTCGTTGGAGCGACGATTTTAATTATGTGGATTTGCTTTGTAATCCCAAAATACTCCAACGAATTGATTTATTGATGAGCTGATTCACGCTTGAATTCGAAATCGTGTGATGTGCGCGAGCGCTATGTATGTTTGTACATGTACATTCAGCCGATAATTCGTCCGCGCGGGAATTCGTGGGTGATTATGATTGTTTCATTGATTTATTATTATCGTATGCCTTTCCTGATGGAATGTCTTCATCATTTGAAGTAACGAGTTTTGTCGGTGTTCGAGTGGGTTCGATTATAGTTTTGGCATTCCTCGTTGATTCTAATATGGTATATAAATTGAACGGCTCTCGGTAAATATTGTGTTAAGAGAGTGAGACTTTGTGGGGGAGAAGGAGAAGCAGGATGGAGAGGGTGTTTTCCTAGTTGAGAGAGAGACTTAGTTTGGCAATTTCAAGCAAAATAGCCGCGAATATTATTTCGACACTTTGAATTTCGAATGTGCGTATGTGTTTGATGTAAATCCTAGAGCTCGCTCGAGTCCGCATCGCTCTCGCTTCATTCACGCTCAATGATTGAGTGTTTTAGTTTGTGCTCAGTTTAATACTTTGTTCTTTGGCTACTATCAATGGCTTTGTTTCTTCATAAATATTGTGAGTTTGAGTCTAAGTTTGTGGTTTCATGTCAGAAGCTATGCATTAGATTAAATTAGCAATAATCATAATAAACAATCAATATATAATATACACGTAGGTTTTTTTTTATATTCATAATTCATTTTTTTCCGTTGGTTTCTTTCCGCTCGTCGTTTTTTCCCCCATGTTGAATGTGTTTACTTCACTACTCATTTCATTTTTTCGTTTCTTTCATCATCAGTTATACTTTTACAAATAAGGTATAGGTACTAGCTAGATTTTTATCATCTCAAAAAAATGGTTTTACTTCTTTCGTCGATTTTGGTTGTGATTTGCGCGCATGCACACTCGTACAAATGAAGCGATTTTTCACACTTGGAATTATGAAATTCGTGTTTGGTTGCTGCTTCTGCTGTTGTTGCTGCCATTTTAGCCGTTTCTTCTAACAAATTGTATTCATGTTTTCTGTTGGATTTCTTCTGCTGTGTGTCGTGAAGATTTGGAATCTACCGGTTAGTCCGTCCAATGCTGAGTGCATTGACGCACTCAACGAATTACATTTATATTTGTTATTATTGTTGTGTTTTTTTTTCTAGTCGCATTTCTGTTATCGATAGTGCTGAAGTTATTTTTCTGTTTTTTTCCTTGGATCAGGTTTATGATTTCCATGTTGTCGGTTCGATATTATTTTCTTTTATCTTATTTACTATTTATTGTTATCTGTTCATTGAAATTCTTTACGATTTGGTTGAGTGTGTTTGTTTGTTTGTTGTATTCGATGAGTGATGAAAGGGGTCGTTTTCCATATTATAGTATAACTCTGTGTTGTAGTTTCATCATTTGGTTTATAGTGTGTTTATGTGCATTTTTCTGTTTTTGTTTGTTTGTTTGTTGTTTGTACGATCAAAGTCTCTTTGGCTGCATTTGTTATTTTGGATATTTTGCACCAGTATTCACTATAAGTCAGGTCGAATGTTACGCAAAGTGTGTGAAGGGGAGCTTATGCATTCAGAGATATCCAAGCGTTGAATATGTTTTTACAAATTTATCATCGGATGTCGACGAACCGTCTCTGTTGGTGTGATAACAATGAATGCAGGTAAAATTTGTGGATGGAATAATGTTACAAAGTCCAGCAAAACCGGACCAAAAAAACAAATTTGCCGCAAAATTCAAAAAGACGTGTACTTACTCATCTTCCCATGGGCAAATGGTGTTTCGGCTAGTCTCTTCGCTCGCTTTCACCTGCACTCCATCACCTGCATCGAATAGACAATTGAATGTAATTCACATTAGAATTGCAAGTAAAACACAACCACTAGCACAAGTTTTCTCCAGTTCCCAAATGGGGAAACTGTGTAATGTGCTCAGTGGTCTCTTTGGTGTGTGAGGGTGTGTTGGTTACCTTTGTCGGTTGACTTTTGTTTCTTCTTCGGTTTTGTACGTGCTGTTTGTGACTGCTGTTGCTGTGGTTGCGTTTTGGCAGTTGATTCATTGGTATCATCATCAGTGGGGTTAACCGGATCGATGTGTATTTCAGGTGGTTTTTCAATTCCAGTGACAGACATATCGTCGTCGGGAGGATCGACTTCGATTTCGGCTAATGGTGCGATTTGTGGTGATGGCGTTGGAGCAGGCGCAACGCAACCCGGTACCAACGATTCACCGCCAGTGATTGTGTCATATTGATAGTCACCACTTGTCGGATTGCATTCTTCGTATTCGTCCATCGATGGCGACAAATCCTCCGGTTGACTTGTCACCTCGTCGGACTTTTTCACCTCTAGCGACAGTTGTAAGTTGCTCGCGTCAGGTGTCGGTGATGATGTTTTTCGAATGCCAGCATCCTTTGAACACTGCGTTGCTACTGTTGCTCCCGCTGCTGCATCTACAGTTGTTGTTGCCGATGCTGCTGCTGCTGCTGCTTCTTCTCCTCCTGTTTCTGATGCTGGCTCATCGTTTTTTGTATTTTGAGCAATTTCTTCACTATCACTCACATCACATTCAATTGTATCCGTATGCTGTGCCTGTGCTGATTCGGCCAATATAACATCGATGCACGGTGCACACATAACGGTTATTTTTGGCGGTGATGCACTCAATGATAAACTTTCACTTCGTACTTTTGCACCATCCGATAAAACGGAACATCGTCTTGCTTCTAAATTAGTATCACCTACATTTGAAAGCACAGCAGAAATAATGTTCTCTTGCCGAACGTTTGTATTATTTGGTTCGTTAATTTCACAATGTAAACTAATATTTTCACTAGATTTTCTCTGTTCATCATGGCATGCGTCACCGATTGGCGATTTTATACTACTCTTCGAACTGGTATTCGATTCGCTTGCCGTGGCTGTACGTAAACATTCACGATCATCAAAACTTCGCGTTTTCGTTGGTTGTTGCTGCTGTTGCTTCGGTGACGATGGTATTTTATCCGTGCTTGGCATCGCTGCGATGCTACTGCTTGAATGCGATTTTAGGTCTGTTATTGATGATTTTGAAATTGTTGGTATTGTTTCCACCTGATTTAAAATGGGATGGGAGAGCCGGAAATGTCAAACGCATTAGGACACATCAAGTAATTGAACGTATAATTCGGTTCGGCACACTTACACTGCTATCAATTTTCTTGGATTTATCAAAGGACGGCTGATGTTCAATATTCGTTGTGGCTGTTGGACCACTTTGTTGTCTAAAGGAGAAATGCATGTCGCACAATCTAAACGAACGAACGAACGAGAAAATGAAACAGACAACCGTATGTCAAAGTCGAAATCGAATTTAAATCTCAATGAATGAAATCTGAACGACAAAGTCGAAACCAATTTGGTACATTTAAATCAGTTTTGGAAAAGTAGCGTGGCACAAACCTCGGCGCAATGGTAATGGATGCCCGTCTTGGTTCAGTGGATATGGGTGCAAGTCGTTTGCCACTCGGCAACAATTCACAGTCGAGTGTATTTTGACGTAATCCGCACGTTTTTCGCATTCGTTCCGATATCTCGCTAATATCTGACGACGAGCTACCAGAATCAAAAGCTGAATTATTTCTTGATCTGGATAAAAAACTACACGACAACAACCGATTTAGTCAATTTTGTTTGCATCTTGTCAAGCGAATGAACCAATTTTGGGTTTGGATTTTTTTTTTCGTTTTGCCCAAAGTGAAAAATTTGTTTCAAATGGAATTTACCTAGCAATTGCCTGTTTTGAGGTTGACGGTGGTTCATCGTCGTCCCAGGGACAAACTGATACTGAAACAGCCAAATTGTCACCGGTACTGACGTCATCCCAAGGACAACAGCTAGCGGCTCCCGGCGCTAAAGTTGATTCCAAGTTTTCGGGTATTAACTTCGCCCCTTCTCTAGATTCGTCACAACATATTTGACCGGGATAGAAAAAAGAGGAAGAAAAAGAAAAGAAAAAAAATGAAAAACACATTTGAAGCAATTGAAATCGAAATTGTAATTTGAGAAGTGGACAACATCAATCAGTTTGAGAGAAAAAGAAAGAAAAATAAATGTATCAATATGTTAACAATCGATATGAGTATCGAGGGAAATGCATTTAATCATTATTATTGTGTATGTGAAATATTTACAATCGCTGTAAATTCGAGTGAAAGAGAGAACGAATGGAAAATGTGACAACAACGAAAAATTTAACAACAAAAAACAGACGTATGAATTTATGAACAATCATGAAATCGCATGAAATTCAATCAATTATTATATATATACTTTGTGTAAATACACACACAATCAAAGTGATAGCCAATCTACAAACACAATGTGTGGGGGATTTGGGTGGTGGGTTTTTGTGTATCGAGAAAAAAGGGTTGCAAATGAATGTCCGAGAATGAAAACGCAACTTCTATTCACAACACATATAA